ACCATGCAGTATTTGTCCTTTTGTGACTGAGATACTTCACTCAGCATAATGTCCTCTGGGGTTACCCATTTTTTAATAATATTGCATGAGTTCCTTGTTTTTCAGTGCTGCATAGTATTTTATTGTGTGAATAGGCCACAGCTTCTTTATCCATTCGTTTGTTGATGGGCACCTGGGTGGTTTCCAACTCTTTGCTATTGTGAACAAAGCCACGATAAACATGGGTGTGCATACATCTGCTTGGATGTCAGGTTGGTTTGTTGTTTGTTTTTTCAGTTGCTCCCTGGGCATCTGAAAGTTGGACAATGAATAAAGATGATAGAAGAATATTCAATGTCTTTGAGTGTAGTGTTGGAGAGGAGGACTGAATATCCTGCCGGCTACCAGAAGAACAAGCATGTCTGTCCTGAAGGAATGCCAACCGGGTGCTGCTCAGAAGCAAGGAGAGTGAAACCTCGTTTCATGTACTTTGAACTATTTTTCAGAAGGATCCAGACATAGGAAAAAGATAACCATGCTAGAAAGGTGGAGGATCTGAGAAAGAGAAGACAACCCTTAACAAGATGGATTGACACAGTGACTATAAAAACTGACTTAAGCGTGGGAGAAGTTCACATCTGTAATTCATAGGGTTCTACAACTCATAGCTGATTTGATGGCACCTAATAACAACAACAGCAACAATAGTCTTTGCAGAAACAGACTGCCACATCTTTCTTCTACAGAATGGTTAGTTTTGTTTTTCATACATTCTTAGGATTACTTATAATTAATTTCCAGTGTATGTGTGTGTGTGTGTGTGTATATATATATATATAGAGAGAGAGAGAGAGAGACACAGAGAGAGAGATCTATCTATCTATCTATCTATCTATCTATCTATCTATCTATCGAGAGATCTTACAGTGCAGCTTTGCTTGCTGAATTGGAAGAAGTCTTAAAGCACTTACTGCTGAAGATCAATGATTACAGCCTTCAGTATGGATTACACCTCACTGTCAAGAAAAGTAAAATCTTCACTGATGAACTATCAGGCAGCATCACGATGAACAGAGAAAAGATTGAAGTTATTCAGGACATGATTAACAACAGGCAGGAAATGAAGACATTGCTCTGGGAGTATCTGCTGTCAAGGACCTCTCTAAAGCTCTACAGAACAAGGATATCAGTTTAAAGACTAAGGTGGCCTCATCCTGTTAGGGTCTTTTCTGTTAAGTCCTATGCATCTGAAAGTAGAGCAGGGAATAAGAAAGACTCAAGAGGAATTAATGCCTTTGAATTGTGGGATTGACAAAGAGTATTGAATGTCATATGGACCGCCAAAAGAAAAGAAAAAAAAACTGTCTTGGAGGAAATGCAACCAGGATGCTCCTTAGAGGCGAAGATAATGGAACTTCATCTCACATACTGTGTAAATGTTATCAGGTGGGGTCAGTCCTTGCGGGGGGTGGGGGGAGAACACTAGAGAGGGTTGAAGGGCAGTGAAAAGGAGGAAGACCCTCAGTGAAATGGAAAGAACCAGTGACTCTTACAATGGACTTGAACATGGCGGAGATCTCGAGGATGGTGCATGATAGGGCAAGGTTCATATCTGTTGTTCGTAGGGTTGTGATGAGTCACAGTCAACTCAACAGCACCTCAGACACAACATACCCAACTCACTGCCATGAAGTCCAGTCTGATTCACAATGATCTTCCATTGGGCTTCCAAGGCTATAACTCTCAATAGGAGAGTTGAATTCCCCGTTGAATGACGAGTGGATTTGAACATTTGTATATCTCTGATGGTGTTTTCCATAGAGTTGTGCTGTTAACCCAAAGGTGGAACCTCTCTTGTGTTTTGAGTCCACCAGCTGCTCCATGGGACAGTGATGGGCATCTCTCCCCATGCAACTTGCAGTCTCTGAAAAGCTGCAGGAGGATCAACTATAGGTAGATTCTGACCCATCAGCAATGAAGGTTGACTTTCTTTCTAATTGTTGTTAGGTGCCATCAAATGGACAACAATTCATAGCAACCAATGAGCATATTAGAGCCTTGTCCTATCCTGCATCTCTATAAAATATGTATATATATGAATGAGAAGCTTGACTGATAGGAACTGGGCCAAGCCTTGAGAAACACATTGCAATGTTATTGTTAAGAGGCATCATAAAGCCCTGGTAGCTTAATGGGTATCATTTCAGGTTAGTTAACTGAAAGACCATTGGTTCTAATCCGCCTGCTCCCTGAGAGAAAGATGGATCATCCCTTCCGATATAAATCTACAGCATTAGAGACCAGGTAGAGGACCACCGTGAGTTACAACTCAGTGGCAATGAGTGTGTGAGGTCGTGCAATTTAAGGCCATATCCTTGGTTTTGAAGAACTTATCATTTCCTTATTTGTCTAGGTAGGAATTTATGTGTCAAGTACCTAAGGTAAATTTGCGTGGCTTTGTACCTTGCAAAAGGAGAGATTTGGGTAGGCTGCAGGTGTGTGATCTAGTTGGTAAAGGAAAATACATAAGAAATTTAGAAATAAAACAATGTGCAAATGATTACTGAACAGCCAGTTGGGCTGGGCTTTAAAAATCTTTAATTTAGATCTAACTTGGGCTTTATAATAGTGCCGTTTTTTTCTGTTTAGGATTGCTTTTTCTGGGTTGAAATACCTGTAGAATGATTGTGGATTACAGAGCAATTTAAAAACACTTAAAAATGCAGTTTGCTCTGCCCTAAACAGGATGAACTGTTTTTAAAATCGAGAAAGTCGTTTAGTAAAGCAAAATTGCATTATCTGTATAAGCTCTTCTGTGATTTCAAAATGGAAAGCAGGAGTTTAGGACCGTAAAATGGGATCAAAGCAGTGTTTTCTACAGTATTAGATAATGCTAGTAAACGGTCCTGAAGTTTGTTTGAAAGAACTGCTCTGA